AAATACCAAGAGAAAATATTTTTGAATCTTAGCATAAAGCAGTTAAATGCTTGGGGGTTGACGATTAAAGACAACGTCAATAAATACACAAGAAGACAAATTAATCGTTCATTAATGATAATGGCTCCTGGTATGTTCAGAATTACCAATAGACATCAGTACGAGGTTACAAGGGGAAAGTTAATACGAAGTTACAAAAAGAAAAGTTAAGGCATTAGATGTCTTAATTACAATTCGCCTCAGATTGAACGAATTATTTCCCTAAGTCTCCCCCAATCCTCGCTCTGCTGAGAAGAAGTGACATTCAATTCAACCACAAAATCATCATCAACCTCCAGCTTCTTGTACTGCTCGACCAAAGACTTGGTTCGCTCAATTCCTTGGGAGGCATTACATTTTTTAGCAGCCATTCTCGCCTTGCAGTCGTCCATCCTTGCTTGAAGCTCCTTCATCTGTGCAGCCAAACTGGTCATCAAAGAGTTTTCAATCATAATTTCGGAAGAGATTTCTTTCAATTCGTCCTCAGCTTTGTTGATCTCCAGAAGCAAAGACTCTCTTTCAGATATAACGCGAAGATATTGAGAACTTTTGGCCTTCAATTCAACATTTTTGGCCAGCAAGGAGAGAATCTCGGAATGGACAACTTTCAACGTCGCTTTAAAATCAGCACAAAGATTGAGCGACGGAAGTGTCAGTGCTTGCGCTAACTTCGCACTCAAATGCTCAAGCTTATCCTTATATTTGGCAGCACTAGCCTGACCGATGTCCATATCCATAAAGGACACGTACTCAAATATCGACTGTTTGAGGAACTTCATATCTTCCTCTAAAGAAGTAGAAGGACGATTGGTTGAAACAGGGCGAGACATCTTGACTTGTCCCCAGGAAGTGAACAAGTCCTGGATGGAACGCACAATCTTATTAGCATCCTGTAAAGAAAATTGTCAACATTGAAGGTTTTCACTACAATAAACAAAGTGGAAGTAAAAGTGAAGCAAATATTACCTCATCAGCAATCTTGGGAGGTGGCATATCCCCAGCCAAGTCTACCACCTGTGGCTCCACCACTTGTGAGGACTTCCCCTTGTCTGGACGAGAAGTCTTTGCCACAATGGGCAAACCCATGGGAGCATCTGCAGAACTCAAAAAGCAACAAATCAAAAACTAATAGTACAAGCAAAGGTAAAACATCAAAAATGTATTACCTTCTAGTTCGACGTTTGGGAGGTTGATGCCTTGGGAAGAAGGTGGCTCATCCATTGGTTGTGATGAGGATTCTGGGACCGAAGGTTTCTTTTTAAGCGTAGTCCCTTCATCAGCTGGTTTGGATGAAGTAGCCTCAGTAGAGGATAATGGAGCAAGAGCTGCCAATACCAAAGCCTTCAAAGGAGAGGCTGAACTTTTCTGAGAAATCCGAATAAACCATCAGCACATAGAAAAGTTTCAAGTATAGAAAGGTATGCTTGTGAGTAAACTAATTTAATTATCTTTCTTCTAATGATGAGAGGAGTGTCATCATCATCCTCCAAAATGGGAGATGCTGAGGTTGGCCGTTTACTGTTTAGGGCACTTTTGCTGCAGTGGGCCTGGTAGGAAGAGAAGTAGATGGACGAACAGACTGTTTAGCATGAGCAGAAGAGGAATGACTCCTAATGGACACAGGGGTGATCAAAACAGGAGAAGTGGAAGAAATGTCTGGCTGATCCAGTGAATGGAAAGCACGATTGACATCAGTTGCAAACAATCTGTGTTTCACTGATGGCTAGAGTTGTTCAAAAAGGGGGTGGATGACATGGCTAGAATTGAAAGGGGCAAATGAAAAGTTACTCGTCAAAAGAATATTGTGAGCATCTATAGCTTCTGCCTCTGCCTTATTAATGGTGTGGAAGCGATCTATCAAATTTCTTGAATAACAAAGGGGAACAGGCCAAATTTGGCCAAAACCAAGTTGACGACCAAAAAATTGGGGAGCATATATTTCAACCCCAGCTTTGGCATTGGTTCCAGTCAAAATATCATGGAACAACTCTCTCCCGGTCAAAACCTGAACCCAAACAAGCAGAGAGGTGCTCGCACTGTCCAGGGTGGATGGGGGTTGCGCATAATCTGGAGTTAAAAAAGGGAGGAAAAGGAAAGAAAGAAGGAATTAAATTCAAAGTATAAAAAATGAAAAGATGTCCCTTCTGGACATATTTACAGGACTCAGTGGGTCAATAGCTAGCCCATAGCAGCTAGCAGAATAAAGGGAAAAAGATAGAGCACCAAGTGATGGAAAATAGGCTCTCAACCACATTTGAGTGAACCAAAGAGGCCCACTACCAGTGGGAGATGCACCATTCTTCAATTGGAATTGGAAAGAAGCCATGCTTCTATAGAGGGCAGCCAAAAAGAAAGAACACAAATTCAGAGGCCTACCATGCGCCAATTCGTGTGCTATGGGTAAATAGCTCATAGAAGGTTTCATGCTTGACACACACAGAATATATTTACAAAGCCAAATCTGAAGAAAGGCCACATGCTCAGCATGAGAAGGCTCAGCGCTCGAGTGATTATAACAGCTTTGCAGGTTTGAATAAGACTCCGTGAGTTTTCTATCAAATTTTGGGGCGACACCAAAAATCAAAATACCAGAGAAAATGGTATCACCCAAAGGTGGCAGATTTACTAAGGCGCCAACATCCCTTAAAGTAATGGACATGGGACTAAGAGGGAGAACAAAAGTATTATACTTAGAGGACCAAAAACTTAAAGCAATAGGGAAAAGCGCTGGATCAAAAATAGGGAGTTGAAGAGAGATTTCTAACAAATCAGAAATCCTAGTACTATCAAAAATTATCTTGGTAGGACCATGGCCCACAAGGCGAGCATGTCATCTACGAAAAACAATATCAAATTTAGGCCAAGTGCGAATACCTCTTTCGCGAAGCGGCCTCAGCGGCAAAGAGTTTAGAAATGGAGGGTTTTGAGTACAAGGGAACAACTGGCCCACCGCCACTTGTTCGACAGCCTCGGCGTTGTTGAATGAAGGACCTAGATAGAACTCATTGAGTTCGGCATTGGCTGGTGCAAGGAAGTTCGGAATTATATATAGCCGAGTGAGGATTTTCTGGAAGTTTTCGAAACTGAAAGAGTCACCAGATTGGGATTGTGAAGCGGTCATTGGGAATGAAATAAAATTTTGTTGAAATTTGCTTGAGAAACGTAGCAGAGAAGTAAGAAGATGAACAGTAATATTGCGAGAGAGAAGCGTGAAACAATGATGCGTGATTTAGTGGTGTGATGAAATCGCGTGTATTTGGGGGTTATAAGGGTTTGCAACGTCCCGCCTTTTCAGGCTATGAAAGAAAATAATGATTGAAATTCTTAGGAATTTCAAATGTTGTTGGGAAACACAAAATGAATATGGCAAAAATTAATAATTGGTATTAATTCTGCCATATTGGGGGTAATTGTTGACACACTAAAAGTGCAGCCCAAATCGAATAGCCCAAATAATGAAACCCAACTGGACAATTCAGGATAAAGGTCCAAATAGGGTTACTAATAGATGCAGTGGAAGCCCACGAATACGGTAACGCCATCGCCCAAACTTGCAAGACGCCCAAGATCTGAGCGAATGAAGTGCCTTGCAGTCGCCCAGGGTTATGACCCTATTCTCGCCTAGGATCTTAGCAAACATAAGATGTTATGGTTATTCAAAAGTGTAGTTATCGAAGCAGTTATTAAGTAATCTTATCACGTTCCACGATTTAAAAATGTTCAGTTGAAGACGGTTGAACGACAAAGAGTAGTGACAGCAGTTTCACGATAAGTTGGCCACCATGAAGAAAGTGGGCAGTTATAAATCAATTAAGCAGTTTCTAAGCAGTTGATCACGAAGAGATCATCAAGGAAATATAAAAGGAAGAAAAGACATAGAGCAAAAGGACACTGAATCAAACACTCTCAAACAGAGAATATGTAATTTCAATTTCTTAGTTTAGACTTAAACATTTCTTTTCAGTACTCGTGTGCTTGCGCCCCTTGGAGGCATTCTGTTTAAATTCCAATTGTAAAGTCATCGCCAATAAAACACCTATTTTTGGAACTTTGTCTCAAGAGGTTTGTTCCTTACACAATCGTCTGATCTCTTTTTAATTATTAGCGACTACCCGTGCGAAACAGGTAACATTATTCTATAAATTTAGTTTATACTATATAAAAAATGAAAATAAAATAAAAAAAGAAAAGAAAAATTCCATCTTCCTCAACTCTCCATTTCCATCCCCAACCGCAACCCCACTAGAAATTATTGTCGCATAATAAAGATTTTTTTATTTATTTTTTAATCATGATTTTAAGTAGGTTCCATGTGCATCAAATTACTAGGCCCTAGTTTGGTGGTCCTTTTTTTTGAAAATTATTGTTTTAAATAGTGATTTTTTAGAAAAATGTGTAAGTAAAATTTTTTTTGTTTTATTTATGCGTAGAATATTTTATTGTGTAAATTTATTGTTAGATATGAGAATATATATTTATATAACAGAATTTTAAAAGAATAAGAAACAAACAGGAACTCGTGCATTTTATCAAGCTCAAGTTTGACATGAATTGGAATCCCAATTTTGGTTGATTGTTTTGTTAATTGGATAAGTGAGTAGGGATGGGCAAAAATCAAATCAACCCATGAGAATCAATCGACCCAAACTGGACCGATCGATTTGCATCAATTTATGCAAAACAATTAGCTGGGTATGATTTATGATTAAGCGCATCAAGTTATAGTTTGACCCATCAAAATTGATAAAACCACCCAACCCAAGTTCAAATCAAATATAAAAAAATATCACTCGAAATCTCAGACATTCAAGCTTTAAACGCCCATCTCGCCGCTAAATCTATTTTCCTGAAATAGCCTACGTCAATCGTCATTTATTAGTTGCCGTGTTGGTCATAGTTTGTCCATAGCCAGTAGCTGTTGATTCTCCTCCAATTTCTAATTGAATTTGGTTGAGGATGCGATCGCACTTTTAGCCAAAATGGTAGGGACTAAATTTGCAATTTACCTTCTCTCTTAAAACTCTGTTTCGACAAGGTAGATATTTGACCTTAAAAGAACCCATTAAAACCCTAAACCCAGCCAGGATCAGCGTGAACGGAGATACAGAGCAAGAACAATGGGAAAGAAAGAACAAAAGCAAAAGGATCAATTACAAAAACAAAATAATAGTTGTAAAAAGCAAGAGGAGCTTCTGAAAACACTTGGAGATTTCACCAGCAAAGAGAATTGGGACCAGTTTTTCACCATCAGAGGCGGCGATGATTCATTCGAATGGTACGCCGAGTGGCCTCAACTTCGGGACATACTCAAAACCCACCTCTTATCGTCATCTCCACCACCGGAATCCTCCGATGGAAGCGGCGGGGATACACCACATGTGGCGCCGGAGGAAGTTCAGATTTTAGTGCCGGGGTGTGGGAATTCGAAACTTTCCGAGCATTTATATGACGTGGGGTTTCGGAACATTACAAATGTGGATTTCTCAAAGGTGGTTATTTCGAATATGTTGAGGAGAAATGTGAGAGAACGGCCAGAGATGAAGTGGCGCGTCATGGACATGACTAGTATGCAGGTTTGCTCAACATTTTAATTTTTTCACTTCTTATTCATCATTGAAGATATAAATTTGCTTTAATTTAAGAACATCAATAACATCTTGAGTACTGTTGGAACTATAAGAATGTCATAAATTGATTATTATACGACTACTTTAAATCATTTAAGTGATCGGAATGCAACTCTAGGAAGATTTATCACATTTTGTGGGCCGCAAGTGGTTGGCTTTGTGACAATTGTTGAAATCACTCGTGTAGCTCGTCAAAGTTCTAATTTAGTTTTTTGCTAACTATTTGTTCAAAAACCTAGTATTTACAGCCTTGATACCCTAACAAAATTAGGGCATAATGTCTTAGTGACTATATCAGATTTTTCCAGAGTGTGAGTGCTTAGAAGTTCACAACTACGAGATAGTCAGCTGAAAGCTAACGTTGCATACTTTCGCAACTACAAGTGTGCCTTAAGTGGAGATGTTATAGCCTATATTTAGCTTGTGGTATAGGTGTTTTAGACTTTTAGGGGTATGAAACACACTAAAAAAGAAATGCTAAACTTTAAAGCTCAACTTTCAAACTGTCCAGAGAGAAATGTAACAATATGAATGGTGGAGTGAGCATATTGCCCTCATAAGTACTGACAAAATTATTTGAATATATGCAAGTATGAGTTTTCTTGATTTGATTCCTTTATTTTTATTTTTCCCCCTGTAAGCACGTACATCAA